TTTTTTTTTTTTTTTTTAAATGGCTAAAACATGCTGACTTTCCTTTTTTGCCATCACTGGCAGGTAAAAGAAATGGATGAGAAGCTTAATTTTGATGTGGAAAGCTTCATCAACAATGATGTGGATAACACTACAGTTATGAATTTAGTTGAAGAGAATGGTGTATCAGGAAATGATTCGTCTGGGAACGTAGCGTTGGTTGAGGTAGGTACAGCTTAGATGTTTTGCATTCGATTGTACATGTGTTAAATCTTTTTCTCTGACTTGCCACGTTTGTTATTCCAAGCAAATCTGATCCTCTTATTTCCTTCGTTGTCTTGCTTAGCTTGTCAAATCAGCCGATTTGAATATGTCGAAGGCTTCGAACAATACCAAGGCACAAGGGAACCATCTAGTAAGCTTTTTTTTTTCTTAATCATTTGCGACCATCTTATTTTTCCAAAATCATGGCTCCGCTTTTCTATATTGTTTTGATCATCTTTTTCTCTGTATATGTCTTATATAGCTCGGTGTATTTAAAATTAATGGCAGGATAAACAAGTCGGGTTACAGAGCATTGAAATGCCAAAGATTAGGGCTTCCCTTGAGGAAAAATTGAAACAGAGAGTTGTATTTAGTTCCACTGCGTACAAGAATGGTGGAAATGCAAAACATGTCCAGTCAGTGAATAGGTTTCTCCTTTTCCTCGTGCAATTATATATTCCTCTTGTATTTCTTGCGTTAATCATTTCCATGGTGTTGTACCTAATTAACTGAATCATTGAAAACTGTGTTTGAAGACAACTTGAGACTTTGGATGATTTTGTTGATGAAGCCATACAAATAGATGGGTCGACAAATGGAAATCCTTGCAAACTGACTTCACGTCCAAATAAACGCAAGGTATGGAGTCTCAACCTTTATCAGAAGATATAAATCATATTTCCTTTTTTATTTCGGCATGTTGCCAAAAACTTACATGTCAGCAATTTTTGGAATGTGTGTGTGTGTGTGTGTTTGGGTTTTGCTGATTGTGACTAAATTGTACGTATTTGAAGGTTATCGCTGGTGATGATGATCTAGCGAAAAGGGATGACATTGGGGAAAGGCGAAGGAAGCATGAATTACGTGTTCTTGCAGGAGCCGGAATTGGGTCTGTCAATGAGGAGACAACTAATAATATCTCCAGTGACGAAATTGCAGGTGTTAGTGAAGAAAGTGATGATGACTCGGATTTGGAATATTACAAGAAAGTGGAGCGGGAATACGCTGCTAAGCTTGCTGCAAAATCCGAAAAGTATTCTAGGTATGGTAATGTTTGAGATTTTGATGATGACTCATTTATATTATTGCTTGCTGAGTAGTTGCATATTCCTTGTACCCTTCGATAATATTGAGCCTGTTTCTGTTTTGCGTGTAGCATAATTATAGTTTGTTGGCCAAACAAAATTTCTACAGGCCCAAAATGGAAGTTCCACCTTTGCCGGACACAGTTGATGGAAAGCGCAACATTACGCATCAGGTTCGGGGAAGTCTAGTTAGCTACCTGTTCTGCTCATTTTTTCACAGGATTTATTTATTTAATTTTGGCTGCTCACTTTACCTCTGGCTGGTTTGGTTTAATTTTTCTTTAGATGGAAAAGAATAGAGGCTTAACGCGTCCCCGCAAGAAGCTGACCAAAAATCCCAGGAAGAATTATAAGGTACTCGATTGAAGTAGTAGTTGTATATATTGACGGCATATTCAACTGCATCACTCTCTCTCTCTCTCTCTCTCTCTCTCTCTCTCTCTCTCTCTCTCTCTCTCTCTCTCTCTCTCTCTCTCACAGTTAAAGTACAAGAAGCCATTGCTTATTAGGGGTCCGGCCTTAATCCCCACCCTCCTTTTGGGGGGTTTTGTTTTGAAAAAAATAAAAAAAGGGCACAAGAAGGCAGAAGGACGCAGAAAGGGGCAGGTTCGTGAGGTGAGGAAACCCACAAGTCCTGCGGTGGGGAAGCATCCGGTATTAATGCAAACGTCAGCCGCAGTAGAAGGCTATATTGCTTGACCCCACCTGCTTGCAAATCTGTCTTCCATCTCGCAATATTAAGTCGTTATAATAGGGTGTATTCACCATTTTACGAGCATTCTGTTCCTACCGCTTATTGGCGATTTTGACAATGGGACTGGCCGCATAATATTATGTATTTTGTGGTTAGGGTATAAACTGATAGAATTGGATTTAGTTTTATTCGAAATAAATCTGATGGATTCATGCTGATTGATTAATTAAATTTGGGATTTGGAAATCTTCCAAAATTCTGTGAATTTATTTTCTTTAGACGCACAAAGAAAAGAACTTGTTCATTTTATGATGCCTCAATCCCCAGAAATTCTATGGTGCCACACGTGGCACCATTATGGTGCCACAACATGATGTGTGATAGTTGACACCAATCATAATGTGCCACATCATGTTGTGGCACCATAATATGGTGCCACATGTGGCACCATAGAATTTATGACCAACTCCTTTTTTTATTGATTAGTGGCAACTAATCACATTTAATGAAAGAGGTGTCGACAACTATTGCCAACCACCTTCTTTGATTAATTTTTTTTATTCCTATAGGTTATCCAAATGGGCATCACTTTAATTTTACCATTTTTGGGGACTCCACGCATAAATAATTTTGACCCAAATTATTTGCTATTTAGGTCCTTAAGTTTAATATTATTATTTGTTACGTCACCAAATAATAATATTACCGGGTTTTCACATTTAATCATTCCACAATCAAAATTAAGTTCCTTAGCTAATGTACAATAATTTAGGGCTTGTTTGGAAACACTTATTGATAAGTCCATTTCAAGATGGACTTTTTGAAAAGTGACTTCTCAAGAAGTCTTCAATATAAACTTCTTTGAAATGAACTTTTTGTAGGAGTTACTTTTTTAAAAGTCCATTTTGTTGTTTACACCAAACATCTTTTTATATTGGAAATGGACTTTTATAGTCAAAAGTCCATTACAAAAGTGCTTCCAAACATACACTTAATCACTTAATTTGGTTAAACAATATAATGACTCAATGTATTAATTACACATATTTAATCCCAAAATAGATCTAAGAATCTCTCACTGAATTAAATATGTGTCATATATAATACATTATACTTATGAGCTCAAAACATGGTCATTATTACAGAAGTTAAACAATCTGGTCAATTAATCACAAAATATAGGACTAGAGCAGTTTTCGCCGTATAGAGACAGTTAAACTATCAATAATCACATATATCACCATGATTAAATGACATTGATCAAATTTGGATCATGTGACATAAAAATTACATGAATGCGATCAACACATGTCAATTTTCAATTAGTCCAAACTTAATGGGATCGTTAAGTACCAAAGCATAATATACAAAGTTTCATGAACCAAAACTTTATTTCTGATCAGAATAAGTATTTTATATATCATCTAATAAAAATGACAAAATATGTAGCAAATACTCCCACTAGAGTGAAGCTTCTTGAATATGTAACACACCATTGAGCAGTATGCTCGTAAAATACCATAGGTGTTACACCATTAGTTAGGAAATCTGCTAACAAAGATTTTGTCACTAAGTGTTCGATGGAAATTTGACCACTTTGGACACTCTTGTTCACAGCTAGGAACTTAATGTCAATATGTTTTGATTTAGACGAGCTCCTATTGTGTTGGAGTACAAAACGCTGATTTATTGTCACAAAAAATCTTAATAGGTCTTTCAACCTCCGGAATGATTCGCAGCCTTTTGACGAAGTTCATTAATAAAATTCCATGTTGTGATGCCTTAAAACACGCAACAAACTCAGCTTCCATAGTGGAAGTGTTAACAAGTGTTTGTTTAGCACTACGCCAGGAAATGGCACCACCAGCCAACATAAATAAGTACCCAGACGTAGATTTTCTACTGTCTTGGCACCCCGCAAAATCGGAGTCAGAATATCCAGCGATCTCCAACTGGTCTGATCTCCTATATGTGAGCATATAATCCTTAGTTCTCTTAAGTTATCTCATCACTCTTTTGGCTGCTTTCCAGTGATCCAATCCAAGATTACCAAAATATCTACCCAACACACCAACTATATACGCAATATCCGAACGTGTACATACTTGAGCATACATTAGGCTCCCAACCGCCGAGGCGTAAGGGACCTTTTGCATTTCATGGATTTCCAAATTTCCCACTGGGCATTAGGCTAAATTTGTCTTCTTTAGCCACAGAGGTATTTCCTGGTTTGCAGTTCTGCATGCCAAATCGCTCAAGCACTTTATCAATTTAGCTCTTTTGTGATAACCCTAGAATACCTCGAGATTGCTCTCGGTGTATCTAGATTCCTAATACAAATGACGCTTCACCAAGATCTTTCATCTCGAAATTATTCGAAAGAAATTTCTTAGTTTCGTGCAACACGCACATATCATTTGTGGCAAGCAGAATGTCATCCACATATAAAACCAGAAAAATAAATTTACTCCCACTGAACATGTGATAAACACAATCATCAAGAACATTCATCTCAAAACCATAAGAGATAATTATTTGGTGAAATTTTTGATACCACTGTCGAGACGCTTGTTTGAGCCCATAGATTGATTTTCTTAATTTACAAACCATTTTCTTCGGGTCATCAACCTCAAAGCTTTCTGGTTGTACCATATAGATCGTCTCATCAATATCACCATTGAGAAACACCGTCTTTACGTCCATCTAATGTAGCTCTAAATTAAAATGTGTCACTAGAGCCGTCTTTACGTCCATCTAATGTAGCTCTAAATTAAAATGTGTCACTAGAGCCATGATTATTCTAAAGAAATCATTCGAGGATACTGGAGAAAAGGTCTCTCTATAGTCAATCCCTTCCCTTTGAGTATAACCTTTAGCCACAAGACATGCTGTATACCTTTCCACATTACCATTTGCATCCCGTTTGGTCTTAAAAATCTATTTGCAACCAACGAGTTTTGCACCTTCTGGCAATGGGACAAGTTCCCAAACCTTATTTGTCTTGCATTGACTTATATTCTTCACGCATTGTTTCGATCCATTTATTTGAGTTGGGATCCTTCATGACTTGTTTAAGGTTGATAGAATCATCCTCATTCAAGCCATCCACATCCTCATTTTCTTGAAGAAATACTAAATAATCATATGGAATGGCATTTCTACGTTGTCTAGTGGATCTTCGCAAAAGCGTTGGCTCTTGAACTAATGTTCTTGAGTTTGTTGAGTTTGTTGAGTTTGTTCTATATGTACATATTGAGGTTCAGGTTCAAAATGAACAGGCTCCTCAATTGTATGTTGAAACTGTATGGGAGCTGGAATGACTATTTCCTCTTGAGGGATCGTGTCAACAACTTTGGTGATTTCTTGATCCTCAAAAGTAAAGTCCTAATCTGTATTTTTCCCCTCAAACTCAACATCCTCAAAGAATGTGGCAGTGCCCATCTCAAAAATATTTCTTGATGTGGGATCATAAAATTTATACCCCATTCGACCGTTCTGAGTAACCAATAAAATGACAGCTTACCATACGAGGAACTGCTTTGGTTCATTTGGCCTATAAGGCCTCGCCTCAGCTGGACAACCCCACATCCTAAAATGTCGTAAGTTAGGCTTACGCCCAGTCCAAAGTTCATAGGGTGTTTTAGCAGTCGCTTAGTTGGTACTCGATTTAAGATGTAGACTACAATCTTTAGTGCTTCCCCCCACAAGGATCGGGGTTGTAACACCCCGCCTGATCTAATTGGACTCACGAAAAACTGGGTAAAATTTTCGCGGTTGTTTTCGAAAAATACTGGGACTGGTTTCGAAAAACATTTGAACTTAACTGACATGCGGGATGTTACTTACTTACTGAATTGACTTATTGCTCTTTCTTTTACTTATGCATGTAACCCAATCGACATATATAATCCAGCTGGGGAATATGGGTAAGGGGAATTAAACATGCATGCATACTGGTTCTGAGTTTTGGCAGTACAGAAGTGTAAATAAAGTACAGTACAATACGAAATTATTTTATTACATGCCAACATAAACATAAACATAATAAATGTCCAGCTGTTGTCGGACACCACCACACCACTACTCGGCTCACACTCTGGGTTGTACACCATCACCTAAAAAGATAAATAGTGGGGGCGTGAGCACTAAATCACCATGCTCCGCATGAACCAACACTGAATATACAACACATATAATCAAAATATCATGAACTCAACATATACATAAATAAAACTGTACTGTACTGGTGAAACATCCGGAAACTGGTCGAATTATCATATGATCACATTCTGGGGGTCGCCTGCCTCAGAAACCCAGGATGGAAATAACTACCATTCAAAACTGGGTGAGTGACTCAGGATGGGAAAAACCTTCCATACAAGACCGAGCCATCATAACTGGACCACGAACGGGATAACTCAACCGTTCGGGTAAAGATCTACGTACATACCTCATACAGTATATATGATTATAAGTGATGTAATACCCAGTGCAGGGCCCCCACATGATTACGCTGAAAGACTGTGCAAGTGATGAAAACTGGTGTAGCTGTTGGAGGCTCGACTCTCCACAAGCTACCAAACATATACAAACAAATATATTTAAGTATTTTGCTTGAATGATATATTTGATTCTGAAACTTTGACACTTATGGTGGCAGATAGGCAAGCAAGACATGCAAAACATATAAAACATATATACAATTAATTTACACAGATAAAACAAACACAAGTTAATAAACAAACAATAGTAGAACTGGCTTCTCGGCTTGACTGGACTGATATCGAGCTTCCGGATAAAATTTGACAGAAGCTCAGAAACTAAAAGTATCAGTATATTTTTATCTGGCTTGAACCGGGCAACTCTTATACTTAAATACGTGCTTAGGGTTGTATATATACTCATGTTCAAATACTTTTACTTAA